ATGAGAAGAGAATCTCAATCTCATTCTAATGTGAGACACGCCCCACGCCTCTCTCTCTCTCTGTAGATCTCATTCGAGCTTTATCTTCTTCTTGTTCCTCCACTGATACAAGTTGAAGAAGGGTGTATTGAGTAATACAGTAGAAGATCTGTATGTAAACCGAGACGAAATATATTTTGACCTACAGAACTAACCGGAAGTCCGATTGAGAGGTACAGCATACCCAGACGACCGACTTGACGAGAGCTTTCTATCGCAACCGAGATCGCAGCCGTCCGACGCCTCACGCGCCCTCACGCGCCGCCGGAAGCTCCCAGGCTGCAAGTTTCGTTTTCATCCGATTTTGATCTGATCTTGTTCGTGCAACCCAAGACTTGATTTGCGGTCAATCAATTGCGGTCAACCGTTCGTGGTCAACCAAATCTACATAAATTTTAAGCCGTAAGTTCTCTACGTCAAACCTTTAGATCCGCTGCGCATAGGTTTACGTTTGCTATTGAATTCGTGATTTGTACATAACGAGATCCTCACAGATCCCAACAGCAGGTTGGTCAGGCCTTTTGGAAGGCCTACCGGAAGCTGCTAATCAAGGACTATCTCTGCTCGACAGGCTTCCTGAAAGAGGCTTCGACCATGGGACTCAACTTCTACTCTTATAGTGTAGAGGTGGTTGATCGACAGCTGAAGGCCCAAGGCTTCACTGGCACGCTCGATCTCGACAAAATTTGGGATGCCATTCCTGTTGTGCCGACCCAGTTCACGGGGAGTGAGTCTTGGCGGGTGATAACCTGCTAAAGGCCGCTTTCGACCTACCCAAACCAGGTGAGGCATCTATATTGTGTCTGTCTATTGCTGCCCTGGGTTCTAAACAGGTCGATTTGGGTGCTTCTGGTCAATCCACTGCTATGTCTTCCTCGTCCCAAGATTCGATCGGGCAAACAACTGTGCTTAACATTCCATCAGCTGCTGGTGCCGACCAAACTGCTGCCCCTTCAAAATAGTTTAGGCTCCAATGTATTTTGTAATTTTTTGTTATATGAACTCTGTTTGAATGAATGTGTACTCTTCTATCTTTTTCTTATCTTCTTTACTCTACAAAATGTGTTGATTCCGCGCCATGATACATTTACTCGCACAATCACATTAATACTTGAACTGAACCGTAATTCTTCACAAGGATGTCTTAGGTGATTACTTAACATGAATCCGTGCACCAACTTAATTTTTTCTTCAACCACTTGCCCACTTTGAAACAGTGCGTATCAAAATAAGTGGGCTTTTTCTTCGACCACTTTCCCTCCCCAAAGGAATGTTCAAAACAAGCAGTCGTCCAGCCCGGAGGCGTGGACTCTTTTCGACTACTTGCCCACCCCAAAGGAATGTTCAAAACAAGGGACCACTTGCCCACCCCAAAGCGGGGCGTACAATAAACAAGTAGATTTTTGTCTTCGACCACTTTCCCAAGCCCAAGGAATGCTTAAAACAAGCAATCGTCCAGTCTGAGTGTGGACTCTTTTCGACCACTTGCCCACCCCAAAGGAATGTTCAAAACATGGGACCACTTGCCCACCCCAAAGCTGTGCGTACCAAAAACAAGTGGATTTTTTTCTTCGACCACTTGCCCACCCCAAAGGAATGTTCAAAACATGGGACCACTTGCCCACCCCAAAGCTGGGTGTACCAAAAACAAGTGGATTTTTGGCTTCGACCACTTGCCCACCCCAAAGGAATGTTCAAATCAAGCAGTCGTCCAGCCCGGAGGTATGGACTCTTTTCGACCACTTGCCCACAAGGAATGTTCAAAACAAGGGACCACTTGCCCACCCCGAAAGTGAGGCGTACGAAAAACAAGTAGATTTTTATCTTCGACCACTTGCCCATCCCAAAGGAATGTTCAAAACAACCAGTCGTCCAGCCCAGAGGTGTGGATTCTTTTCAACCACTTGCCCACCATAAAAGAATGTTCAAAACAAGGGACCACTTGCCCACCCCGAAGCAGTGCGTACCAAAACACAAGTGGATTTTTGTCTTTGACCACTTACCCACACCCAAGGAATGTTCAAAACAAGCATTCGTCCAACCCAGAGGTGTGGAATTTTTTCGACCACTTGCCCACCCCAAAAGAATGTTCAAAATAAGGGATCACTTGCCCACCCCGAAGCGGGACCCACTCCAAAGAAATGTTCAAAACAAAGGACCACTTGCCCACCCTGAAGCGGGACGTTTGAAAAACAACTGGATTTTTGTCTTCGGTCACTTGCCCAACCCCAAGGAATGTTCAAAACAAGCAGTCGTCCAGCCCGGAGGTGTGAATTTTTTTCGACCACTTACTCACCCTAATAGAATGTTCAAAACAAGGGACACTTACCCACCCCGAAGCATGGCGTACCAAAAATAAGTGGATTTTTATCTTCGACCACTTGCCCACCCAAAAGGGATTCAAAATAACCAGTCGTCCAGCCTTGAGGCATGGACTTTTTTCGACCACTTGCCCACCTCAAAGGAATGTTCAAAACAAGGGACCACTTGTTCACCCCGAAGCAGGGAGTACGAAAAACAAGTGGATTGTTGTCTTCGACCACTTGCCCACCCCAAAGGAATGTTTAAAACAAGCAGTAGTCCAGCCCGGAGGCGTGGACTTTTTCCGACCACTTGCCCACCCCAAAAAAATGTTCAAAACAAGGGACCACTTGTCCACCCCGAAGCGGGGCGTACAGAAAACAAGTGGATTTTTTTCCTTTTCGAGTAACCTGTCAATGAGGTCATACCAAACATTCCAAATAGGAGATTTTGATAATTCCATGGAATAACATAAGAGTACGAAATTCCATTAATAATGAGCAAAAATGCAAATTACATCGTTTTTATATATCCATGAGAAAAGAAAAATTTAGACATAATATTTCTTCTTAGCAACATTCCATGAGCTGGCTAAGGACTGCTCTTCTGCATCTTTCAACGAGTATGCACTCCCAGTATGGACCCTCTCGACCAGGTACGGTCCCTCCCAGTTCGGCTCCAGCTTGCCAACATGTTTCAGTACATCAACTCTTTTCCAGACTAGATCGCCCACCTGAAATCTACAAACCCTCACCTTCCTGTCATGTGCTGCTCGCATTCTTTGCTTGTACGCCTCGACCCTAGTCGAGGCCTGCTCTCAAAGCTCTTCAATTGTATCGAGGGTCGCCATCAGTAACTCTTCATTCTGTTCACGATTGTAAGTGCTCGATCGCTGAGATTGTAATTCCACTTCGACCGGCAATAGTGCTTTCATCCCATAAACTAGACTGAATGGGGTTTCCCCTGTTGTCGACCTCGTGGTGGTCCGATATGCCCGAAGTACTGAGGTTAATTCATTGGTCCAAGCCCCCGAGGCTTTCTCCAGCCGTGTCTTTAGCCTAATCTGTATGATTTTGTTGGTCACCTCGACTTTCCCGATAGCTTGCGGATGACCTACCGAGGCAAAGTGTTGCTCGATCCTCATGTCTTCACACCACGCTCGAATCCGCTTGCCATTGAATTGTGTTCCATTGTCGGACACCAACACCTTTGGGACACCAAACCTGCAACAAATATTGTTATATAAAAATTGTATCACTTTCTTCTCTGTAATTTTGGCCAACGGTTTGGCCTCCACCCATTTTGTGAAGTAATTGATCGCCACGATCAAGAATTTCTTTTTTCCGGTTCCCTGCGTCATTGGTCCCACCAGGTCGATGCCCCACTGCGTTGAATGGGATGGGAAAACTCATCGTCGTCATCATCTCCGCTGGTTGATGAATAAGCGGACAATGTTTTTGACATTGCAAGCATTTCCGCACCATTTCCTTCGCATCCGTTTTCATTGTCGGCCAGAAATACGCTGCTTGCAGTATCTTTGCCACCAAGGCTCTTGCCTTCTTATGATTACTGCAGCAACCTTCATGCACATCCTTGAGCACATATCGACCCTCTTCCTTTGTCACACACTGCAAGTGTGATCCAACATATGACCTTTTATACAGAGTTCCTCCATGCTCGAAAAACCTTCGTATCACCTTCACTACCCCTTCTCTCAATTCCCTCAGGATCGAGGATCTCCAGTCCTCGACTTCTTTAATCTCTGCTACCTCGGTTTCGACTGCGCTCCATTCCATATGCAACAAAGTCAGACTTCTCCAGCAGTCCAGTCTTGAGTGTGTCTAGTCATTGCCGAATTGGCTGAACGCAATCTCAGTTGGTTTTATTTTGTTTAGGATGCTACTGTTAGCATTTCTCCAGATTCCACCTCTTTGGTGCTCTGATAGGGCTATTTAGCCCTTCGTTCTACCTTGTAAATCTCCCTTTTGAAGCTTATAAATCTATCGTTTCGATAAAAAAAACAAAATGGGTTTCAAAGTGTTGTCTTCTCACCAATCTCTACTTATTAGAAGAAAATTTACTAAGGCTTATGCATTGGGGAATTCATTTATGTACATCAATGTAGGTCGTTCATTTAAATGATAAAATAAAATAGTAGCCCCCACAACTGTCGTTCAATAGTCTTAATGGTATTTGGTCATACATTTTGGTAGGCGCAATAGACCCACCTTTAAAATATTGTATTTAAATGAATTAACAAATGTGTATGTGAGTTTAAATGACGAAAGAATTAATGAATTAGATCTACCTTTAAAATATTGTATTTAAATGAATTAACAAATGTGTATGTGAGTTTAAATGACGAAAGAGTTAATGAAAATGATGAGATAGACATGGAGTGAAGGAAAGATAGTGTGATTTATATTTGAATGAATGGTTATGAGTGCGGATGCCTTTATACAAAATTGTATATATGGAATCTACCCTACTCGATCTTCAAAATCTCATCTTCAAAATATAGTCAACCCAATATCCTGTTCATAATAAAGATGGCTAGTCAACATTATTGCTAGCTTAAAAAAGGGTGTAGACCCTTGTTTTTTCCTCTTAATAAACAAAAAAGCATTATTGCTAGCTTAACACACTCCAATTTGCTCATCTATAAATATAGAAGCCAATATGATGAGTTTTTCACCCAAAACGAAAATCATTACAATTTTTTTTTTTTTTTTAAAGAATAGATGGGTTTCAAAGTACTTCGTCTTTTCACCTATCTCTTCCCAATGGTTCTCTTCACATCTTTAATGGTTCTCTTCTTATCTTTGGATGTCACAGCTAGAGAATTGACTACAAGTTCAAATCACATGACCACCAGTAAGTTATTTTCTTCATCAAAATATTGTAATGTTTGCATTCATAAAAGAAAAAAAAAAGGCATTATTGTTAGCTTAATTAACACACTCCAATTTGCTTATCTATAAATATAGAAGCCAATATGACGAGTTTTTTCATCCAAAACGCAATTTATTTATTTATTTTTTAAGAATCGATGGGTTTCAAAGTACTTTGTCTGTTCACCTATCTCTTCCCATTAATGGTTCTCTTCATATCTTTGATGGTTCTCTTCATATCTTTGGATGTCACAGCTAGAGAATTGACTACAAATCCAAATGAAATGATCACCCGTAAGTTATTTTCTTCATCAAAATATTGTAATGTTTGCATTCAGTGAGATAGAGTCTTTTGAAATTTCCTTCATTTAACAAGAATTGAAAAGTATATATGAGGCATACTTTATATGGCGAGATTTAGTTTATGTGTCATCACTTGCGAAGATTCTTCCCGCAGAAACTTGGAGTTAAGTAGATGAATTAAAAGAACATTGTGATAAAAAAAAATATTGACAAATTATGAGGGTGAATACGACTAAATAATGTGGTTAATTATAAATAGTGCTTATTTTATGTTTTCTTATACTTTATGAAATATAAAAAGAAAAGGTGGAAAATAGATAGTGATGCCTTGTATTATTAAAAAGCTCTTGGCATTATCGCTTTTTCATTATTAAAGGAATGAAAACAAAAGACTTAATTTTGGCTTTGAAGATCACATTTGAATTTTTATATATGAAACGATTATATTTTACTTCAAAAAACCTTAAAGCAAAAGTAGCCTTCTGCCTTACAATTATTTTATTATTATTTATATATTTATTGCAAATACACGAAACTTTTTCATTAATAAGAATATAAAAAAAAGTGCTATTTTAAAATAAATATAAAAATGTAAAAGGATTTTATTAATTAAAAACAAATGAAAAACATGGGGAACCGGTAAAAAATAAGTATCTTTATTGTTATTAGATAGAGAATTAAGCTAATTTTTGGACGTTTAGAATCATAAAAGAAAGCTTCTTAACATTGAATTATATTGACAATAATGGGAGAGCTAAGCTAAATTTTATTAATAGTGGATTTTGGGTTAAAAATTTGTATCCAATCACAATCTCCTACAAATCAAATTATATTGACACGAAAAAAAAATAATAATAATGATTCCAATCGCAACATCATTAATTGAACCAACCATGTAGCAGGCCATCGAGGACATAGGAATGGACATAAAACACATCCACCGTCGCCTAATGTTCCACCGCCGGGACAATGTGATTCAGGCAACTGTTGTGGGCAGGCCAACGACCATTTTGGTTCTTGTAACTGCTGTTAAGAGAAATATAACGCCTTCTTACAATTGGATAACTTGCTAGAAAAGCTAACGGTGGGAGTGGAGAATAAGTGGACAAGAATAATAATGTCTTTTTATAATTGGGCCAATTAGAATAAATGTTTACATATACAAATACTGCTGTTATGTCCACATGTGTGTAACATGTCAGAGTAGAAAACTCGGCATTCCAATTTGATTGGATGTTTTTCTACTAGTAAAAATATTTTATTGTAAATTATATTATTTTAATGCAGATTTTATCTTATGTGTTTGCATTTATTACATATTTGCAAATGTGATGAACTTCTTAAATCATTATTAGTTATGAAGCATGGTTGCGCATTTGATGACAATCAAGGAACATGTCTTTAAACTTATATCTTAAATAAGTTTCAAGTCGATGGGTGTTTCGAGAGAGGACATTGAATAACTGGTAAGATTTGTGCATATGATGCATGCTCGTTGTGTAAAAATATGTGACCCGAAAGCATTGGGCTCACAATTAATTATCATATTGGCCTAGGTATTTATTTAATAGTCAAATAAATCTAAGCCATTAATCTGGATATTTGATGGGGTACCAGATCTAAAGTCACCTCTATATAAATTAGTCATCTCTCCTCCGATAAGGGTACGCAGTTTTTTTTCCCATCAGTTTTCTACTGTGTTAATAAACTGTGAGGAGGGAGAACCTGATTTAGATCTAAGAATCGATCGAGCCCCGTGTGTGATCATCAAGATCAAGATCATAATTATGTCGCCTTCCACTTCAAATGAGTATATCGTATACACCAAATTATTTATTTAAGACCCGTGATTAAACTTACATATTATATCAGAGCATGTGTTGTGAATAAATAGTTTGTTTGTATGAAATTTACAAGCATATCCCGTATGTAGTGATCAACTGGACAATTTAATCGCATGAATTTTGATTGGAGTTAGCGATTTTTAATTCAATCATGTATGTCGGCCTATCAATTTTATTAATGGCGCATGAGTTGCTGTTTGGGTTTGTTTCATTTTGACGAACAAATTAATTGATAAGTTGTTGGATCAATTAAATGATGATATCGTAATTATATTCAATTTCTGATAGTTATTAATTGATAAGTTGTTGGATCAATTAAATGATGATATCGTAATTATATTCAACTTCTGATGGTTTTTTTGGTTTCGCCATATACCATGTTTCTAGATATGCATATGATGATCAATACATGTGGTCAATTGAAAAATCAAATGTGCTGGTGGAATAATTTTTATGTAATATGTATTCCATTTGGCAAATTTTCATGAACTTTTAGTGAGCTATATTTATTTTATGAATAGGTTGTAATGTTTATGGATTCAACTGTTTGACTGATGCATAATAGCATACTCGAGAATGGTGATATTTTTTGTGTGAATGATTTATTATAGGACATTAAGGTCGAATTTATTGTTAGTCACGAAAGTGGCTTAATTAATTTTCCGTATTTGGTTATGTAATTTTATTATTATAAATGCTTATTATATGACATTAAGATAAAATTAATTTGTTAGTCATCAAAGTGGCCTAATTAATTTTTAATGTCCAGTCATATAATATAATTGTTATAACTGCTTATTATATGACATTAAATGAAAATTAATCTGTTAGTCACCAAAATGGCCGAATTAATTTTCTAATGTTTGGTCATATAACTTATGTTCTCATGAGAATGTCATTATTCAAGATAATGAGTTTATTGGTTGTTAGAAATTATGGATTTATCCAAAGGTGAATCAATGTTCTATGACTAATAAACATTAAGGAGAAATATAATATTCTGTTGTCGAGCCTATGTAGATATCCAAATATACTATTTAGTCTTGGAGGAGAAACCTATTTTCTTCGGCGGGGCGCGAAATTCTAATGAGAGCGGTTGTTTGATGGAGTTTATTTAATTTCTCATTAAGTGTTAAATGACATTCGACATATGATAATGATATATATTGTTGTGTTTACCAGAAGGAGACCGACAATATATGTTATGAATATATTTTCTGAATCTATTAATTAAGTGAGCGTTTATGTATGTGCATCTATCTCTCTTCATTCGCAAGGGCTGAGAAATTAACTTAGCACTGCTTGAAGCAAAACCCACTGACATTACTGATCAAAGCAGTGAGGCTGAGAAATCAAACCGTAAGGCTTGGGATTGTTCTAACAGATTATGTTTGAGATTTATGCGAATGATGATTGCCAACAACGTTAAGTCAACTCTTCCCGTTAATGTGGATGTGAAATCATACCTTTTGCTTGTGGAAGAGCATTTTGGTTCCGCGAATAAGTCATTGGCAGGAATACTTATGGCCGAACTCATGACCAGAAAGTATGATGGGTCGCAAAGTATGCAACAACATGTTCTTAACATGGCTAATCTTGCAGCAAGGCTTAAATCCCTGGGAATGACTGTTGATGACTCATTTCTGGTGCAATTTATGCTTAACTCGTTGCCTCCTGAATATGGACCATTTCAAGTTAACTATAACACTATTAAGGATAAGTGGGATGTTAATGAATTGGCTAGTAAGCTTGTTCAGGAGGAGACGAGACGTAAGGCACAAGGAGTTCATACGGTCAAACCTTGTGGATCATGGAGCTAATAATGTTCTCAAACCAAAATCCAACAAGTTTAACAAGAAAGGACTTGCTAAAGTTTCACATGTCATTAATGATGGAAAGAAGGAAAACTAGGCGAATAAATACTATTTCTGTAAGAAAGAAGGACATATACAGAAAGATTGTCTGAAACGCACGTCTTGGTTTGAATAGAAAGGTATTTCTAATATCTTTGTATGTTTTGAATCCAACTTGTCTGAAGTTCCTTCAAATACTTGGTGGTTGGATTCTAGTGCTACAACTCATGTTTCTAATGTGATGCAGGGATTTCTTACAATCCAAAGCATAAACCCAAATGAGAACTTCTTGTTCATGGCGAACCGTATGAATGCCCCAATTTAAGGCATAAGGACTTATCATATTGTTTTAGGTTCTGGGCACCACCTGGATCTTTTGCAAACTCTCTATGTAACTTCATTTTCTAGAAACTTAATTTCTCTTTCTAGGCTTGAAGTTCTTGGGTTTTCCTTTAAGTTTGGATATGGATGTTTCAGTTTGATTAAACATGATTCTGTTATTGGTTCTGGAATTCTTATGGATGGTTTATATAAAATGAAACTTGATATTAATTTTTCTGCATCTTTGATGTGTGTTCATCAAAACATTGGAATTAAACGTGGTGTAGCAAATGAGAACTCTGCTTTCTTGTAGTATAAACGTTTGGGTCATGTATCCAAAGAAAGAATGCAAAGGTTGGTGAAAGATGAAATTTTTTTGGATCTAGATTTTACCGATCAAAGGTTGTGTGTGGATTGCATTAAGGGAAAGCAGACCAAAAAAAGAAAGGAGCCACAAGAAGCAGTCAACTTTTTGAAATTATACACACCGATATATGGGGACCTTTTGATGTTCCATCATTCAATGGAGAAAAATATCTCATTACCTTTATAGACTATTTTTTACTTTGTCGTTATGTCTATTTGCTCAAGGAAAAATCTCAAGCTGCAAATGCACTTGAGATTTTCATTAAAGAAGTTGAACGACAGTTAGACAAAAAGGTGAAAATAGTAAGGTCTGATAGAGGTGGTGAATACTATGGAATGTATGATGAATTTGGAAAAATCCACAAAAGCCGTGATAAATATAAATGGGGGGCAAGTTCTTTAAAACTCCCTAAACCACTTTTCATTTTCCAGATCAGTCCCCACTTTTTTTTTGACTCTGCACTCCCCACCCTCATAAATTTCTTCCACTTAACTTCCTAGTATTAAAATAAATAAAAAATAAATTAAGTTATGATACCTCACTACCAAACTAATTTTACATATTATTTTATTATTTCTCTCTCCTTCCTACAATCTTTCTTAATTATTTATTATTTGTTTCTCTCTCTTTCCATATATTTGTTTATTATTTTCTTTTTTGTCATCTTCTACTATTTATCTCTAATAACAATATTCTTTCTTAATTTTTTATTAATTAATATAACTATATTTTTGTATAAATTAACCAAATAAAAAGAATATATTTTACTAATCTTTATTTCACATAAATCTATAAATCTATATTTTTGTCGTTCAAATTTATCGACTAATTCTCTAAAATTACATTATAAATTTCAAACTTTATTAAAAAATTATTATTCAAATATCTATTTAATTTTCAAGAGGAATATATATCAACTAGTACGATACCCATGTACTACATGTGTACGTAAATATATTAATATTTATACAATAAAAAAACTAAAATAATTTATTTTTATATTGTAAAATTATGTATAATGAATATAAAAAAAAAAGAATGAATAACTAACAAAGTAATAATTAATTCAAAATAGGGTCCGTATTTTTGCACTTAATTTTCTTATATAATTTTAAATCTATGATAAAACGCATTAAAATGACTATTTTAAGGTGTATTACTGAATTAGATTTTTATTATATTTGTTATAAAATAATTTATGTTGTATTCATAGTTTTCAAATTATTTTTTGAATAAATATAGTTTTATTTATAATGACAGATGTAAATATTTTTTATTTTATATATGCAATATGAATGTCAAATCGAAGATCCTTAAAATATGATTATTTTGAGATTAACATACAACAAATAAAATAAAATTAAAAAAAATTATAAAGATTTAATAATAAAAAGAATACATATTTATTATAACAATTATTATATGAATTAAATAAGAAACAGTAAGAGTAGTATATAGTAACTTGAGAATAAAAAACCTAAATAATTTATGGTAATTCTCAAGCCTAACACCGAACATGTACACGTGTTAATCCAAACCATATAATTATGCCAAATAAACTTCTGAAGCATATGAGCCTTCCACTTAGTCTTAGGGCATTCAAAGATTATATACATGGGAGATTTATAAAATATTCATTAATATCTTATGACAAGTTTGTTGACGGACGTTTCCGGTCAACGGTTAAA